GCATTGCCACCGCCTGACTGATGAGTGCACTGCCTCTCGCTCGCTGCTGCATCGCGCGTGCTTCCCTTCCCTTTTCCCTGTCCCCACTGGTATTTTTGAGCCATGGTTTCCAGCCGTGGGAGCAGAGGCAATAAAATTATTTCCATCACATTATTTCCTTCCCCCCCCCTTTAACCTAGACGAAGCCACGCTGGAGTTGATGAAAACCCCTCGCTGCTCTCTCCCTGATCTTGCTGCCTCAGAGACCAGGAAAAAGCGATACGCTCAGGCCGTGACCAAGTGGAACAAAAGGAACTTATCTTGGAGGTAGGAATTAGTCTTTCGCTATTTAAACGCGGCAGCAAAGAGCGGATCGTACGCAGACCTAGTCTGCATATGGCTTTGGGGTGAGGTTCAGCGTGACTGTGTTGAAACGCCTCCTTGCGTGCTCCCGGGACCCAACGAGGTCTCCATGTAAACTCCCCAGCTGCCGATCCCAGCCTGGCTTCCCAGTCTTTGCCGTGGGTTTGGCTTCCTGGAGCGGCACGGCCGTGGGCCGGCAGAGGTGTGGATTTGGTGGAGCGTGACCTGGGCGCCGTTTGCAGTATTGCAGCGGTTACGGCACTTGTTTTCTCTCTTGAGTTCCTGGGGACTCTGCTGTGTGCGGAGCAGCTGCCACGGATTGACGTGGCGCAGGCTGCTCTTACCTCGTCCCGCCTGGGATCGCATAGGAGTATTTTCTGGGTAATGGAGTGATTTGGTCCCTTTCTTCTAGTCCTTGTCCTGGGGGGCCGTTTCCCTTCGAGTCCTTGGGTGACGGGTGTGGGTCTCTGTGAACCTGAGAAATGTGGGAGTTTAGGTCCAGCTCCTCAAGCCCACCGCCTGCAGCCCCCCGGCGGGGGAGCGTTTGGAAACAAGTGTCCTCTCGATCCACTGCCCAACCAAGACTTGAGCTTTCTGGGGCTCATTTTTCCTCCCTCAAAGCCCGTGTGCGACAGTGATCGTTCCCCGAAGAGCAGCTGAGGAAAGCCAAGTGCCATGAGAGGCTCGTGCTGTCCTGAAGACACGTGCTCGTGGCGCGGAGGGAGCTCCTTATTAATAACAAACCACGCTTTGATCCTGACATCGTCCCTCGAGCGCTGCAGTAACCAATCTTGCCGTGGCTGTTGCTGTTGACAGGCAGCGAAACCGTGACCTTAACAGGGATTTGGTCTGCTTGCAGCCCGTCCTGCAGAGACCTTGTTTTCAGGAAGGATAAACATGATGCAGCTGTTAGCTTCAGTAAGAAACAGTTTTGGCTCGTGGAGGCGTTTTAACAGGGGCTTGGGAGAGGGTCCCAAGGCATTGGGATTTCTGCGCTTTTGCCGAGCAAGTAAAGCGAACAGCCCGAGGAGTGACCCCACGGAGTTAGCGGTTACAGGAGCGCGCGGAGCAGGGCAGCGGCTGGAGCCAGAGCGACGTGGTCCGGGTGAACCTTGCAGCCTCTGCTGAGCTCTGTGCTGCTGCTACACCGCTAACAATTTGCAGGGCAGCTACCCAATTCCAGCCTGGGCGAAGCTAGATAGAGCTGCAGTCACGGCCCAGATTGAGCGTGGCGACCATCTCACGGCAGGACTTGAGCCGTGCTGATACGTGTCAGTCGTCCCAGGCTCGAGTGCAACGTGAGAAGGGAAATAAGGTCAGTTTGCGGTGGCGGCCTCAGCCCCGGGGTGCTAACCCGCTTCACTTTCCTCTCTGAGGCTGAGTGGTGCTGCTGCCCAGGCTGCCAGGAAAAAGGGTTTTAGGCCTGAGACAATTTTATATGTATGATATAAAAATCCCATCTCCTGACAAACTCATTTCTGCTTTTTATTTTTCCATCCTTTCCAAGATCTTGGCTGTTGTTCAGGAAGGGGCTATATTTTATAATGGGAGGTTGTATAACCCAACTGGAGGCTCCAGCGTTATACTCCGGTGTGGTATTTACATCCGGCAGTTGAGATTAGAATAACTTCTTTGGAAACTGTCATGAAAATCTGCCAATACAGGCATAAAGTTTTACATGCCTCCCTTTCACACATTGATTGGAGAGTTAAAAAAAGAGCAAGCAAAACCCAATTCTGTTGAGCTTCGCGTTAGGAAAGGAAAGCAATCGCGAGGCTGGAAGGCAGGGGCAAGGGGAGCTTGCGCAGCTGTGCTGAAGGGTCGCCCGGGACGGGCACTGCAGGCGCGCAGGAGGCACTGCCTTGGACACCAGGCTTTTACAGGGCTGCTGGCGGTTCGCGTTTCTTCACTCAACCGTCCTCTTTTTACCCACGAGCACAGCTAACGCTGGGGCGCCTGGGAGGCGCGGGGACCCAAACGGGGCGCCCGCGTCCTCACGTCGGGGTCGGAGCGTCCTAAGCGCGGGGGTCCGACGCGCGCGCTCTGCTGCACCTTGTCTCCATGGGAGTTCCCAGGATCTCAAGACCATCTAGATCTTCTTTTCGGGAGATTTTCTTGGCGCGGTACCTGGGTACCAAGGCGCTGGGTGAGCTGACTGGGATCAGGTGGGAGCAGGATACATTTGGGGGTTGTCAGGGGCGGGCTGCGGAGAGCCGTGTGCCGCGGATGCCCTCTGCCGGCGCTGGGA